TTGTGAGGAATCAAAACCCATCATCAATGAGCAGTCATATATTTGTTTGCATCCAAATGTGATGTGACAACCGAAGTCATGTCTATTTACAATCCAGCACATACATCAATCTTAGTTGAGTATGTATATGCTGGTAAATTATGCAATTCCATTAAATGTCTGACCCAATGCTGGATGAGAGGAGATCTCCAACAACACACACAAAGTATTGTCAGCAGTGGGCTGAATCAACAGACAGAAAAATCTCAGAAGACAAATTTACAATGAGTATAAGGTGCAGGAATGGAGAGCCATTGACTGAATTTCAAGCGAGTAGCAGCTCACCACCTCAACCACCAACCTTTCATAATTTAAGTAAAGCCAAAACTAATAAAAAACTTATAGCATTCTTAGTATACCTTAGGGAGAGCAAAAAAAAAAAACAGAGTGAAAGAGAATACTGAGAATGGACAACAGCTTAAGTAGCTTGCCCTTTGGTGGGTCGCAACTCAGATCTCAAGCTAGTTTCAGCACATCTTGTGTCATTACAAAGAGAATGTAGTCCATTTGCATATCAGAGTGATCCCACCCACCCAGACACGAATGCAAGCCAATTCTCTCTCTGCACAAAAGATACAGCAACACAAGTGATTGTTTCGGCCTTGTTAGGCCTTGTCATTGAGGTATAGCCAATACTCCTGTAGGCACCGTGAGCAAGGTATCACCGTCTGGATTACCCTTTAAACTTAGGGAGAGCAACATAACAAAGTGCAAGATAAGTATATCTATCACATTATCTTTGAATGATGCAACAAAATATTTATGCCAGCTCAGAGATAACGATTTGAACTCAGTTAAACAAAGATAAACAGTTAAATTATCCATTTTGTTCTGCAACACTGGACACATGGTTTTCACTGGACTAGCTGCTCTAAAAAGCAATTGACAAATAACTTCACCATTTACTGTTACATATCATGACATTAAAATCCAAACGCATTGTGTGTATGCCAGGATGGGTTGTGGGAACTGGCTATGAGCTGGTTGTTGGCTAAGAGTTCTGAACAGGGTTAATACTGGGCTCTCAGGTTAATATCATCTGGGTTGGATGAAAATTACATTGTTAATACAGAGGTATAAATTCCACATTATCAATGCTCATAAAGGTTGGATAGAAATTACATTGATAATACGGAGGAAAGTTCCACATTCCCATGCAGGTGAGAAGGGAGCGTTCTCCAACACCAAGAGACTCTAAGCAACATAACCAATGTAATTGTTATGTGGCTTAGATTGCCCCTTGTATGTTATATTTGTTAATATATTTTCATGATTCAGGTGTCTTAACTTAGTCACCTTCATTCTAATTATATCATCAAATCAAGAAGTTCCTTTTTTGTTTTGCATAGTGTGCTTTTCAAACTATACCAAATAATCAGTAATCAGTAGCATTACATTTAAGAAATGTGCATAATAATCTGACTCTAACATAAACGCTATGAGCTGAGTCCTGTATGCATTACTGTCATATGCTTTGCTTTTTCTCACAGATCCTTAACGGAACCTAGATCAGATTAAGAATCTTTGAAATCAAATCTTTCTTACAGTGACTCAACGTCAGGAATGCTGATATCATGCCTCTAAGTATTCAACTTTACATTTTGGTTAGTCATTATTTACTGTCGTATGTGTTCAACTTAACATTGTGGTTAGTCATTATTTACTGTTGTATGTGTTCAACTTAACATTGTGGTTAGTCATTATGCACTGGTTTTTTATTTCATGGTCAAAGAACATCTTGAAGATGAAGAAACAAAAGCAAGGGTAACATTAATCGAGAAATAGGATAAAATAAAGGTAACTTAGAGGTTACATTAATCCAGGAAGGGGTAACGTAAAGGTTACATTAATCCAGGAAAAGATAACGTAAAGGTAACATAAAGGTTACAGTAATCCAGGAAGGGGTACTCTTTTTGAGCCATTAACACTGTTAAAAGAATTATAATCCTACCGTTCTTATACTTTGATACCCATTTTGCCATCTTATTGGTGAAAGTAGCTTCTACACCTTACACTAAGCTCTTAAGTATTCATTAACGATAATCTGGTTGAAAAATTGTTAGTGGCACTTCAACTGAACAATCAAAAAAGTTTCTAAAGCATTTCTCTCAATGGGTGGCTAGTGATACACTGGTAGCATCAGAGGCTCCCAAGGCAAAGATGTCCACATCTGAGCTAGGGGAGGAGGCAGATGGGATGAGTTGAGTCCTTGAAGGACCTCATGTTAAACCCCACAAGGTACGAAGACCTCCAAAGACCTCCAGGCACCATAACAACTTAACTGAGATTATGTAGTTGTTTTGCACAGAGTGGTCCTGTAAGTGTTATACATACAGTTCCAACTGTATGGCTATATTTACTACCATTATTGTTAACAAACGAAATGGGACAGAATGTTTGTTTATTTTTTGCTTAGTTTTTTGTTTTTGTTACTTATTTCATTTGTTTACTAAAATGAAGTAACGTTACATAAATTAAGTGATGGAATTACTGATTTCAGTAAGTTGTTTTTTTTTGTTTAATTTGTATTGTGTTGTTGCTATAACCTTTGAAGACTATAAAATGTTAAGAAGCATACTTATAAAGGGTAAAATGCCATGCAAACCTCACCATTCTTCCCCCACCCTGTGATGGGGCAAGCATAAGTACATCCCCTGCTTGACAGCTGACTTTTTTTTCATTTTGTTTCAAATTGTCATCTCATAGTGAACTGTGAAGCCTGTACAAAAATAAATTGCCCTTTTCAAAAAATATTTCTTATAAAAACTCAATATAAAAGGGGATCTTTAATCAGCATAACCTCTACAGCTCAGGGTTATGTAACTTATAGTATAGTTCCCAGAGACCCTCCATCTAAGCCTCACTGATTATACAGAATTTCCATATCATCCGTATCATCGTCAGTTTTGACCAACGTGGCCAAAGTGCCCAAGAGTGTTGGAATTGAGTCGACCAATTGCTCTCAGCCTATTAAATGCTGTCCAGGTTTGACAAAATTTACCCCGTATAGGCAGACATTTTATTGATAATTTGATATTATCAAGGTGGCTGGGGAGGTATGGTATCTGGGTGCTGAGCAGAGCCCTTCTTTTTCTCAAACCATTTGTAAAAGGTTTGCCACAAAACTTGGGGATGGCCATGCAAAAAACAAAAACAAAGAGACAAACAAAGAGATAATACCAGACGAGTAAAACAGGGAAATACATATATACTGGATTGTTGGTGGGCAAGGAGGACTGGGTTGGGAACAACTGCACCAGACGGTACACAAAGCAGTGTATTGAGATGTTGTGCGATACTGCTCAAAAAAAACCAAAACATAAAAATAACAGTCAGATTATATACATCAAGTATCTTAATACAGTATGTTTTGTATGTATTGGGAATCAACAACTGAATTGTTTTATGGTTTAAAACGTGTTTCAACAATTACATAACAGCTTTATGTTTACTATTTCCCCATGTTCACTTCTCAAGAATTAAGGTGTGTACAATGACATATTGTATCATAATTCTTCCAGTTGGTTGCACAGTGCAGGAAGAAAAAAACCAAAACGATACCATGTGTATTCGATAAAATGTATCAGTTTGCTGATTCTATCATAAAAAGCACAGAACTCATTTGCCCGCAGGTCTTCCTTGGAAAAGAATGTTACGAATGTCCCAAAGATGTTGAAAAAACATGCAACGAAAACACTTGTGTTTCCGTGTTTTCCCAGTTACCTGTCTTGTACACACAATGAAATGTATACAGAAATGAAAAGAAGTCGGAGGCTGTTCTGTCATGTCTTTACATAGAACTAGTCAAGACTTTAATTGACTACTAAACAAACAGTTGGGAATTAGTTAAATCTTCTGCAAAAGGGGGACATAATTCAATCATGTAAAAACAATTATTTAAACAGGGTTATAAGCAATGAAGACTGGTTTATAGGGGCAGATGTGGTGGTGATTACAGTTATTGATAATGATTACAGTTTCCATCCCCATTTTATTGATGACTGGAGATGCTGCTCAGATGCTGACCAGCTAATCTTGTCAAGGCATTTTTGAAAACAAATGTCCATAATCAGAATTTCTGACATCAGCCATTGGCTTTGGGATGTCATTTTTTGTATTCCTTAAACATGTATCTATAGGTTTGTGGCTTAGAACAGGGCATGACATCTCATTGGGTCAAAAGTTGAGTACTTATGGTTAAGTGTGTACAGTCCTTCGGGATGCTATGGAAGTCAAGAAAATGTAACAGCATATCACCATCTTTAAACTTAACCTTTAACCTGGAGTTGTGAACTTTAAAGAGCTCACAATCCAAATTACCAAACGGCTCCATTCGGAATTGTACACTTGATATGGATAGCTGCACATTCTCTAGTCTTTTATTAAATAGAGCTGCTCTCTGATTTGTACTAATGGGGGGCAGGGGGTGTCAAATTAACCCCAAAGGCTTATTAATTTTAACTATTAAATGTGGCAGCTGGCATCTAGCCCATACTTTCTGTGGCTGCTCAATCACAGAGAGAGAAGGCAGTAATTGCTGCATCTTGAGTTGAGCTCCAGTGAGATAACCAAACCAGGAAGTAATTTAGGGGTCCAAAGAAGGAGAGGAAGGGAATGAAAGGACAAGAAAGAAAGAGAGAAAGAGAGAGAGAGAGAGAAACAGAGAAGAAAGAGAGAGAGAAAGAAAGACTGTTGCTTTTTATGACATTATAAATCTTAACATGGGAGTTCAGATTTTGTTTTCCCTTGTTCATCCTCAAACTCACACGCACTTAGATACACATCCAAGGACATACAAACATAAGTAGGGAGAACTGAACTCTGGTAAACCTCGCAGAGTGACACAAAAGATCTGGGCGGTTCCTACTGAATCCTCTGTTTGCCTGAAGTTGCAATAAACATCTGATTTTCTGACAGGCTGTATCACATGTATAATCTGAATGTGCTTTGTCGTGCCAGTCTGGAGATTCACTGATCTGAAACACCACAGCTTAGAATGTGAAAGTGTAGCTGTATGACAAGTTCCATTGGCTAATAATAAACTGGATGATGAATTCATTGCTTTATGTACAAAACAGACAAACAGGTAGAGCTCAGAGAATTGCATGGAACTACAACGGTAAGGTAACTAACCTGACAAGACGTGTAGTATCACCCAATATAATTAATTCACTGTTAGTATAAGAGAGAAAGGGATAGTATTATAGCATTATCAATAGAGGAAACATTTCCAAAAATGCATATAAGGAGATTTAATAAATATAAATGTACATCTTGAAGTGTTCTAACTATATCTATTCACAGCAAATGCAAATCTATATAGATAGAAAATGTATAAGAATAATTATTTTTTATTTACCTCATTGACAAATTACCCTGTCAGAAAAAGAAGAAAATGGCTGCCTGGGTGATTTTGAATACCATCCATGATAATGCCAGCTTGTATGAAGCAAATTGGATTTGAAGTTTACCGCTGTTTTATAAACTAAAGATTGCATTTCATACACTTACTTAAAGTTTTCCTTGTCATCCACATGTTTTGTGTCTTTCTAATACCACAAATGACACACACACACACAAAAAAACTATTACTGTGGTTTCCACTGCTCCTAAGGCACGGATTGGATGGGCATCACGAACAAGTGAATTTGAATAATGATTACCAATTTTGTCTAACCTACCGTTATTACTTTGTTGGCACTAGGAAGCAATGGGGCAACAAAGATGTGTTGCGGACTAAAGCATAAATAGTTTTGCCCGCATGTTGCTTAACGCTGCAGCACTAATGCAGTGTAGCCCGTTTTCTCTGAATCATTTCCATTCACCGCATAAGACAAAAAGCACAAAATGAGTGGTTTTAATAGGTACATGTAATGGTTCTAACAGATGTGCATCTGACAGATCCTCTATATACATTTTTGATGAGTAAGTCATCTAAGTCACTACTCAATATCAGTCGCTCATAATACTAATCTTCAAGCATTTTGTAATTATAACACAGCCTGCGTTATTCACTTACAAGGCAATTACAACTTCTAAAATATAAATCCTAAAATTTTAATTCAATCTTTTTTTTATATAATTTTAAAAAAAATTCTATTCTTTCATTTTATTGTGTATGTTCTGTCAAGTCATTTATAAAAACCTTTGGAAGAGAAAATCAATCTGCATCAAATGCAGATATATCTAAATTTTTACCCAAGGCACATTTTGGAGTAAAAAAGAAGAGATTATCTTTATCTTGAATAATGAACTACTTCTTTCATAAATTCATTTAAAGAGCAATATAGATTAAAGATGCTGACTGTCAGTATATTCAGCAAGACACAGGACATGGTACATCTGTAGATATAAGATGTAGTTGTGTCTGATGCATTACAGACTCCATGTCCTACCATTGGTTTGCATCTTATGTTGTAGTGCATTGCTTCTTGCTGTTATCCTTTAAACTGTCACCCACAAACCTTTAGCACACTTGTAAAATTTACCAGGAAAGGTTAAAAGATCTTAACATGTATAGCTTCAAGGAATGACGAAACGGATATGATAGAAATATTTAAATACATAAAGGGAATCAACACAGTAAGGAGGAGACTATATTTAAAATAAGGAGAACTACCACAACAAGAGGACATAGTCTTAAATTAGAGGGGCAAAGTTTTAAAAATAATATCAGGATTCAGGAAGTATTATCAGGAATAGCCTTCCAGCTGAAGTGGTAGAAGTTAACACAGTGAAGGCGTTTAAGCAGGCGTGGGATAGGCATAAGATATAACATAAGGCCAGGGTCTAATCAAAGTATTTAAAAAAAAATTGGGCAGACTAGATCGGCCGAATGGTTCTTATCTGCCGTCACATTCTATGTTTCTATGTTTTTTTTTTTATTCTTTATTTTTCATTGTGCAAGAGATAACAAGACAGCTTACAGAGCCACAACGGCCTATGCAAGCACATTGATAACATTGTTGTACATTCCTGTGGCATTTAAAGTCGTAGCACAAAATTTTTAGCAAGTAGTTATAGTCAAGCTGTATAACACGCAGAACTATAAAACTATATGAACACGTGATCGGCACATGTTTAGTAGAATAAGTGTAGCTTGTCATATATATCTAGTAAGACTGCGCTTTTAGTATGAGTAAAGTTTAGCGGTTTTAGCTAATATTGCAGCCGGTTTTGTGCAGTATAACTGGCAGGATTCACATTTACTCTAGGCTTTACCTTAGTGTCACTGTGCTTGATTATACATAAACTGATTTTGTAGCTTAAACATATAATAGACCTGCGCTACTCTATTCAGTTGTTGTATCGGCACATTTTTTATACACAATCGAGTACTGCGGAGTAGATCAGTAGATTAGTTATTGTGAGTGGTAATAGCAAGAGGTGAGTTTGTAAGAGAGAAGTTGACACGACTAGCTTAGAGTAGTACCATGCTGGATTGAACCTTTTCATAACAGGCTGTGTCTCTATGTTTTTAAGTGGTTAAGAGAACCAAAGTTATTTCCCTCACAAATAAGCTGAACACACTTTTTCATATCAGAAATAGCACAAATAATTGCAGCAGCATTATTCCATCATGGAACACCCAGGGCTTGCTCAAGGGTACTTGTTGCCATCGGCAAAGTGAGATTTCATTAACACGGCTCTGTCATCAGAATTGTTCACTGTATCATCATATGGCAAATTACACATTTCCTGTACATTGTGTTGCATGGTTTTATAACTGTATAAATATTGTATGAAGGATTTTTTTTAGCTATTATGAACTTTCTGTGTGCACATTGGGCAACCTGTGTCAACAGGCAGTTTTACATTTGTTCGCCTCCTTACTGCACAGTAGAAAACAGGGCTGGATTTCCCAAAAGCCAAAATAGTCACTTGCCTACAGGTGTATGACTGACAGGGGTACCTAATATATCTGTTAAAATTCCATTTCCTACCTCCTGTCCTGTCTCTGCTGTTACTAAACTCTGAGCAGTGGCGAGCCTGTCACTACATGGGGCTTGGCCACTGCTGTGACCCCTGCAACTATGAGCTACTTGCATATATTCATGGCTGGTACACTACAGCACCAGCCCTCCGGCGCATAGTTGCAGGGTGACTGGCAGGAAGGGAGCACTGTGCTGTGCTGCTCCCCTTCTGCCTCTGTGTGTAGCATTGCTGAGCAAACCGCAATTTGACAGGAAGTTCTCACTGGAAGGGAATAAGAACATATAGGGGCAGGGGGAAGGGAATGAGACACATGGAAGGCTGGGGGGAGGGACAGACCCATGTGGACGGGCTTGGGGGGAGACACATAGTGGGGACATCCCAACATGCCGTTAGGTGGCTTCACTAGCTACTTTTAATCATACAGTGATATTGATACAGTGCCCCTATCTACAAAGTAAGATGGAGCGAGTTAGTCCCCGGGCAGCGCTCACATACAAGGAGGAGTTCCTTCGGGAGATGTGATGGCGACTGTCCTTTTTTGTCCTGAGGTTCCGGTAAGGATTGTCAGGGCACGCGAGGCCCAAGTGACCAAGCACCTGCAGTACCAAGCACTAGGAAGCAGCGGTTGATGGAGGTACCCGGCCGGGGTGCCAGGCGGTCCGTCACAATCATACTACGATATTAAGTTCACTCTATGAAACTATCTTAAAATAATGCAAACCACTCTTCTCACACTGCAAGAACGCACCAGCCACTTATATTTGCATTTAAATGCTGTTGTTTATTTGGTAAGCTCTAGGTGCGATGTAATAATACTGAGTTTTATTTCAACAACAGGAGACTTGTCAGTGTGGAATTGGGCTGATCTTTGTAATAATGCTGAAAAGATTCACTGTCCAAAATATCTTCTTGCTTTAGATAAAGTCTAATCTTTCTACTTATAAGTCTGCCCCTCATGACAAAGATTTCTCTGTGATTATGGGCTGGACTGTGTGACCCAGAGATTGTAACAGTTCACCCTGAAATACTGAGGTTACTGTAAAAAGAGTTTCTGTCATTACACTGGGAATTGAAATGAATAAACAGTATCACAAAGTTTAGGCCAAACCAGTTAAACGGGATAAAATAGTTTGGCAATATTTCCACTGTAGGGAATTAACTCATTGAGTAGTACCTGTATATTTCCCAAACAGAATCTGAACCAAAATATGTAGTGTTCATTTGCCCTGAGTGTAAAATGGTTTCTCATAAACTTATAAGAAAAGTATAAAAGAAAATGCATAAAAATAAAATAACTAAATAATGACAATGCTTGGATTGATGAATGTAACAGAATATCCCTCTTGGAATCCACATTTGCATATATTTGCATGTTATGGTAATACAGACAGAATGTTGTAATTTGTATTATCTATGTTCCCCTAACTTCCCCTCCTATGTTATTATTGCATGTGGTTTCCTGTATGATTTATCCATATGACTAACAGAGTAATTTACTAATGTGTAAATTCAAGGTGAATTTCAAATTTAAGGTCAGGATAGCTGAAATGAAAGTATAGCTTTTTTTTTTTCAAATTAATCTATTTGGACCTTGAATTTTACATTCTCTTTGAATCCGCTATTTAATGAATAACCTTGTATGTGTTATGTACTATTGTGAGTGTGTCATCAGTGGATGGCAAAGTGGAACAGTTCTGGATTCCAAGCTGATGGCCAGTCTACCCTGTTCTCACTACAGTGATAGTTGATAGGGCATCTCTTCAAACTGCAATCAATATTTCTCTAGGTAACTGTTTGTTGTGTATTACCTAGCTCTAGAAACACTGATCAGCCACAACATTAAAAGCACTGACGGGTGACGTGATTAAAGGACCACTAAAGTGCCAGGAAAACATACTCGTTTTCCTGGCACTATAGTGCCCTGAGGGTGCCCCCACCCTCAGGGACCCCCTCCCGCCGGGCTCTGGGGAGAGGAAGGGGTTAAAATCTTACCTTTCTCCAGCGCCGGGCGGGGAGCTCTCCTCTCCGCCTCTTCTCCTCTTCTTCGGCTGAATGCGCATGTGAGGCAGGAGCTGCGTGCGTATTCAGCCAGTCTCATAGGAAAGCATTCATAATGCTTTCCTATGGACGCTGGCGTCTTCTCACTGTGATTTTCACAGTGAGAAGCACGCAAGCGCCTCTAGTGTCTAGCGGCTGTCAAGAGACAGCCACTGGAGGCTGGATTAACCTATTTATAAACATAGCAGTTTCTCTGAAACTGCTATGTTTATAAAAAAATGGATTAACCCTAGCTGGACCAGGCACCCAGACCACTTCATTAAACTGAAGTGGTCTGGGTGCCTAGAGTGGTCCTTTAAAGTTATTATATCATTACAATACTACCTGTCAATCGGTGGAATATATAAGCTACTGAAGCTTAAATTGCTATAAAAAAAAACCTGTAATGTTGGCATCATTAGAGATTTTACCTCTTAGCAGAAAGCAGCAAGGTGAATTGTTAGTGTAGAACTCACCCAAGAGAATTTGCCTTGACATGGCAGGTGAGCTTACATTTTAATAGACATTGGAGTGATACTAAAAGAACTCCAGTTATTTAAATGTGGATAGGCATATGGGGTAGTGCCCAAGTGACTTTTTTCCTTAGTTTTTATTGTATGAAAAGATCTGAGTGACTTTGACAAGTGTTAAATAGTGATTGCTATGTTACTGGGTCAGAGAATGTCCAAAACAACAAGTGCAGTGGTTAGTATCTACAAAAAATGGTGCAAGGAAACTGGTTAACTGACGTAAAGGTCATGGGCGCCCAAGGCTCTTTGATACATACCACCTACGCACAGAATGTTACAGACTACGTACAACCCCTCATGGGAATGGTGTTCTCTGATGGCAGTAGCATCTTTCAGCAGGATAATGTGCCCTGCAACACAAAAATATTTCAGGAATGGTTTGAGGAATTTGAAAAAGAGTTCAAGGTGCCACCAAATTCCCCAGATTTCAATCTGATCGAGCAACTGTGAGATGTGCTGGGACAACAAATACGATCCATGGATGGCCCACCTCGCAACTTGCTGGACTCAAAGGATATGCTGCTAATGTCTTCATGCCAGATTTCACAGGACTCATTCAATAGCCCATGCCTCAAGCATCAGTGTTGTTTTGGCAGCTATACTTGACCATACTATAATAGGCAGGTGGTTTTAATGTTGTGGCGTATATAGGGGGATTCTGAAATAGTCATAACATTACTGAAGATATAAAATATAGATCCTTTTATGTATTCTGTGGATAGCAGATTAGTTGCTCTGGCAACCATTTCAAAGTCTAAAAGGAAGGAAATGTAGTTGTTATGTAATATGTGCTGCACCCCACTGACATGAATGAGTTGCATTCACTAATAATAGGCTATGAAATTCCTAATTGGCCACACAGTGTAAAGAAGAGCATCTTGAAGATTGTCTTCATTTGTTTTGTGATATGGATTGAATATGTCCCTGCACTGAAGAATTACTTAAAGGGGAGACGTCACTGCTCCGGAAATTACATTATTAAATAATACAATGAAAATGACCTGTAATTAATCTTTTTTTTCACGTGATTTTATTTTAAATGTACATGAAATATTCAGCAACTGACATCTCATTCCAGTCCATTCATGGCACAGCCAGGGCACACATTGCATTACAATTATTTATATAGTGCCAACATATTCTACAGCTCTGTACAATAGGTAAACAAACAAGACAAATTAAATTGTAAAAAAACACATACAAGAACTTAATGCTGGCAAAGAGGGTCCTGTCCAGAAGAGCTTGCAATCTAAAAAAAAATGTTTCTGTTTTTTCATTCCTCTCTGTTGTTTTTCTTTGTTGCCTCACAACTGCAAAGGACAAACCTATAACAATGATGATTAGAACAGGCAGTTTAAAGTTATCCCCAAAGATAACATTAAGTCCTCAAATGTTGCTAAGAAAATAGATTAGACTAGATGTGAGTAATGTCACCTGCCCCATAATATATCCCCTCTGCAGTAGTTAAATCTGTAGTTTATTTTTCACAGTGGACTGCCGAAAGAGCAGAAACGTTTGCCACCATGTGTATATTTAATTGCAAATCAATTAGTAACACATTTACGTGTTTGGCTACCACAATTTTAGGTAAAATCTGAAAAACTTTGAAGCTGACAGGCAGCATAACAGTCCCTTTAATTTAAAATAAATTATTTTATACCTTAGCATGTTAAGCTTAGTGAGCTCAGTTACTAATCAATCTTGATGAACTACTGAAATGTTTCAAAAATGTAATAAAATATATCTTTCTGTATGAAAAGGCAAGAGCGACGTTGGTTCAGTCAGATATTAGAGGTATGTGGTCTCTTACTATGTGTCAACCACCAACCATATTTGATTAAGAAAATTACACCAATTTGATCGTAATGAATTTACATCTGTAAAGTATATAAAGATAAGAATGTAATCAAAATTCTTTCTGTGCCGTATCATCGACATCATCAAAGACGGCTTTTTCAAAGGCACCTGTAGTTTGTCGACTCAAAGTCTACAGATTTGAGTTCAAAACAAACTGTAACCAAGGAATTAACTCATTGAGTGACAGAGTGTGTTGTATACAAATTCCATGCTAACACAAAGACCATTGAGGTAGAAAAATAGTTTTGCACATACCTTTTTAAGTATTACTTGTTGTGTTATAGTAATAGTATTAACTGTTAATTGTCATGGTACAGAGCTCTATGGGACTGATTATCAGATCCCCTTTGTTCCTTTATGTCTACAGTAGGTAAATATCCGTGAAACTGTATAGAGAAATTCAGTTCAATCCCTTCTTTTGTTCCCAGAGCTTATAACTTCACTTTGTGGCTCTAGACCACTTGAACTTGATGCTGCAACATCATGTCTGACTTTATTTTTATATATCCAGCCTTTTGTTCCCAATACAGAAATATTGGAATTTATTCCAAGAATCAAGGGACCAGCAAAGTACCCAAAAGGTAACTAAGGGCATGAGCAACATGAACATTTTATTTCAAGTCAAACTCACGTTTGTGAGTCATAAAAAAGCAAAACAATGTCTGTGCGTCTACCCTTTTTTGCCTTCTTTTGGATCAATAGCAAAAAACAGATGTGAGGAAGGCTTAACATGATGGACACATCTCTTTTCAGCCTGAGTAGCTATGCAACTATGTAACCCTAAAAATATAACTATATATAATCCAAACGATGTAGAAATTGCACTCAATCAGTCTAGACATGGTTATCAGCAGTGCTGGCTATCTTGTTCCACATTTATGACGCAGAAAGTTCCAAGAGAAGTGGTGATTTATTCAACCATATATACAAACATGGCAGTGAGACAGACTGCATTAAATGTAGACCAATGTAGTAAAAAAGCTATAGGAAAACCGGACACTTTTCACATATACTACCGACCATTATATAGGTGGGGCACATAAGATACCACAGTCCAAACTGGGAGGCGCTTATATTTTCAACCACTAAATCATACCACTGAAACCAAATATATAAAAAAAATAAACACAAACATACGCTATATAGACAAATGTATTGGGACACCTGTATTGGGACCATTATACCAAAGGGACTTTTATGACATTGCATTCTAAATACATAGATATTTATATATAGATGGTCCACCCTTTGTAGCTATAACAGCTTCCACTCTTCTTGGAAGACTTTCCACGTGATTTTAGAGTGTCTATTGAGTAGAGCGTGCCATCCAGTAGAGAATTTGTGAGATCAGGCCCTGATGTTGGGAGAGAAGGCATGGCTCACAATCTCCATTCCAGTTGATCCCAAAGGTGTTCAGTTGGGTTGAGGTAAGGGCTCTGTACGGGTCAGTCAAGTTCTTCTACACCAAACCAATCCAACCATGTCTTTATGGATCTTGCACTTTGGCACCGTAATGCTGGTATAGAAAATGGCCTTCCCCAAACTGTTTCCACAAAGTTGGAAGCATAGAATTGTCTAGTGTTTGCTGAACTACTTCTCTTCACTGTAAGGTGCCTTGCCGAATCCCTGAAAAACAGCCCCATACCATTATCCCTACTCCATCAAACATTACAGTTGGCACAATGCAGTCAGGCAGGTAACATTATCTTGACATGCACCTAACCTAGAATTTCCCATCCGACAGCCAAACAGAAAAGCATAATTCATCATTCTAAAGAACACATTTCCACTGCTCCAGAGTCCAGTGGCGAAATGCTTTAAACCACTCAAACTGAAGCCTGGCCTTATACTTGGGGATGTGAGGCTTGCATGCAGCTGCTTGGCCTTGGAAACTCATTCCACAAAGCTCCCGCCACACAGTTTCTGTGCTGATATTATTGCCTGTAGAGGTTTGGAACTCTTCAGCTATGGAATCAGCAGAGCATTGGCAACTTTTACACACCATGTGACCCACTCTGTGAATTTACGCAGTCATCTTGAGTTAATGCTATTTCTAAAAACTGACCATTTTTTCACAAATGTTTATAAATGCAGACTGCATGGCTAGGTGCTCGATTTTATACATAGTGTGGCACAGGGTCTGATTGAAATACCTGAATTCAATAGTTAAGAAGTATGTCCCAATACTTTTGTCCATATAGTGTATTCAGAGGAGGCAAGTGCCATATCTATAGTTTACCAATCAGAGTAAACACGGCACTATGGGGTTATTTAAAAAGTGCCTGTGTTTACCAAAGTTTAAAACAATTGCGAAAGAATGGCTCATCTGGCAACCACGGTTCCTATTCCAGTCAGAGCGGTGATATGCAAGGAACTGGAATTTTGCTGGAGCTATTTAAATAATGAAATAATAATAATAACTGTTTTCCACCAATTTATCGCTCCTAAGCTGCTAGATGATCCTTTCACCTGCCACCTGACTTCTCACCAATTCTCTGTACTGGGTGGGATTTCTTTCCCTCTAATACACATTAATTAAGTCCTGCACCACAGCACCATACACTTGTCACAAGGCACTGCTGGTTGGCTTTGGTAAGAGGGGGTGGTTTCTGCAGCCCTGTGCCCTACTGCCTCAGTCAATTACAGTGAGGTGTAGTGTGTACAGAGGATATACGTGGTAAGGTGAGTAGGATCAGGAGTAAATTAGTGCCTCCAGATTGGTTACTTACATCCCAATGAGAGGATGGTCTGTCAAGTCTGGCTTCTCTTCTCAGCTGTGCAGGTAGTAAAGGAGGCAGGTTCCTCTGTTTCTTTGGTTGTAATTGCTCACCAAAACCCCTGGCTCAATTTCCTGCTCCTCCAGGTATTCACATCGTTATCATAGCAGGGCCGGGCCTGATCTTGGAATAATACATTTTAAAATGGAAAAAACTACTTACAGTTAGATTATGCTGTATAGATTGATTGCTCTGCAATTTGGAGAGATTAGACTGCTCTAGTTGTGGGAATACTGTCCCACTGGGATAAGGTGAAATTTCAGTGTGCTGGCATACCTTCCGGCCGTACAGCACAGTGCTATATCTCCTGCCAGTAAGTGCATGCAACGTGGTCGAGCAGACCATGGTCTGACAGGAAGTGCTCCTTGAGAGCAACAAGCACTTCCATTCAGACAGGATTCTGCGGTTCGCTCATCCCCGCTTGCAGGTGAGCAGGTACCGGAGGGTACCGGTATTGGGGGAGAGAAACATGCAGGGGTGGCAGGGAATAAGACACATGGAGGAGTTGGGGAGGAATATGACACGACGTAGGGCTGGTAGGAGGTAATGAGGGGGGTCCAGGGCAATTTTCATGAGGGGGCACAGGGCAATTTTCACACTGGTGCCGGTGGATTTGTATTTTTGCCTCTGGGCTTCTCTTCTGAATGCTTAATCAATGTCTGCATCACATCCCTGTCTGCGTCAGACAATATATACAAATATAGAGGGTTTATTCACTAAACACAAAATTTTAATACATTTATGTGACAAACACTCCTTCCCACGTACGTTTGCCATGAACTCCTGGAAGTTTGGAAGCTGGCCTCCTGCCCACCGACTTTGGTCCATGTGACAATTCACTATTTTCCCTGTGTTCAAGACATTTCCCTGCAATTTTTCGTATAATATGTTCCCCAAAACCCCATTCACGTTTCCCCAATTCGAGAGCTGCACGCTACCGAACACTGACCACCACCCTGGCCTATTAACTACAAACTAACCACAAACTTAAGTGCTCTCCCTGTGTGGCTGCTGTTTGTATAATTGAACTGGGGAAAATGGTGGCCATCTTGTCCCACGAACGCAGGCAGCGGCACTTGGTCGTTGAGTGTATGGAACTCAAAGTCGGATACATCCTCGTGTGAACCTCTGTGATCTTGCGTCAGCACCTGCTTCTTTTGCCGACAAGACAGGAGAGTGCTGTTCGTGGGATTGTTTGCACAAACTACGCCAGAGTATAAGGGATCTGTTACAGTCCAGGTTTGAGATCCTGTTAGGGAGTGACCCTGCCCAGCATTCGAACAACAGCTTCCCCTTCATGCCCCTGGTTCGGCACTTTCCCTTCATTTGAATGGAACTAAATGCTAGATCCCTGGTCGCCGTTCACATGAACCAAAGCCATGAATAGTCCTCAGCAGTATTTAGCTGCGACCGCTTTGGAACTAATTTCAGCTTGAGGACTTTGGGTGTCTCGGTCACCTCAGTGGGACTTAACCGTGAATGTTATGGAACTGTTTTCGGCATGAGGTGACTGTGCGGTTCCCGGACAACTTGGTCTGAGATTTTGAACCACTTTGCAACCCGTCAGGAGAGTGCTTTTTGTATGGAATGTGCCTGAGACTATGAGGAACAAACACTCCCTGAGAGCCAGGTAGAGCACCCCGTATTGTGGATGCAGGAACTCTTGAAAGTTGACCGGCAAAAGCACCAATCGTCCTGGAACTATTTTGTGCATAGGACCACACGTGCGGCCGGTCAGAACTGTAACACGGTGACGTTTTCCCTACACTGCATTGATCTGAGTGCTATGTGGAGAACTTGGGCGCTCAGATTAAGGCTATCTGAGAGTGTGCAAAGTTTTACTCAAAAAAGAATTTCAATGCATCTTAATATAATCATTGACAAGCATTTAGAATTCTGATTTTTTTTCAGCAACTTTTTATGAAATGTTCACCCGTGTAACTGAAGTCTGCTTACTTGGCTTGTTGCATTGTTTGCTTATGCATGTTTGGAGAGCGTTGAACATGATTCAGTGAGTGAAGTGGATGAGAAAAGTGTGTGAATGGTCAGTAAAAAGGGTTAAAGCCTTGATGTGTAATAACTGCTTGGCCTTCTTGTTTAAATTACTGTAGTTAGGACTGAAGCCAGTGCTCTGTGTGAGCAAGAATGCTTCTAAATATGCATACAAATTGCAAAAATCCCCTTCTACAAAACCAATACAAATTCTGATGCTGCTTGTAATGAGACATAAATGTTGTTAAAGGGACTCAAAACAACTTTAACTTAATGAAGCAGTATGGACATATGGTACATGCCCCTGCAGACCCATTACTTAAGCAAGTGCACTCTAGCCACTTCTGTTAGCTCTGAGGAGCCAACAAAAGCAGAAAAAAAACTGTGTGAGTGACAGCTAGAGAGATGTTCCTGTTCCCAGTAATAATAGTGCTAATTTCTAGTGAAACTGGCAATATTATAAACTGTCAAAAAATAATCACTTACTCAGGTCACATAAAGCACTCCAGCAAGCTTTAGGAAGTACTTTATGTGTCTGGGGTATTCCTTTAATGTGCACTCATGTTTAGCCAGGGCTCTCACTACCTCTTCGATATGTTTGTCAAATGTGTCTTGTTGAATGAACTTGTATGTCTTGTCCAAAGCTGGTCCAGCATTGTCGAATATGTCTGCATTTTGTAAATAGAAGTAGTAATAATAATAAATATATATTTACCACTCACAAACAATTCATTTAAATCAAAGGTGATTCTTAACAGGAGATTGAAGACCTTTATGTATATCTCATGTATTGCATGGGCACAAATAGTGCAAGGCTCCTCCAAAAAGAACTCAGGTAATGGCCCAACTTGGGGGTATTTCACTTATCACATGTAAAGTAGAAAGATTATACGTATTACAAAGTACAATAACATATAAGAATATATAGTGATAATTGTGATGTGTTTTTCTCTTGTTGGTGGTTTTTAGATCAGCGATACATACATAATTTTGTTATGTTACTGACACTATACTTGGGTTTTATACTGTGTTGTTGATCTTGTGCACATAATAGATAACTCTACTAAACAGACTTGAATTTAACTAGACTTGACTTGAATTTTGTTTATAAACCTAAAGATTCATTGGGCCACTTTCAAGTGTAGAGGTACAAGCAGACACTTCATAAGTGGTTTTAATATGGTTACAAATTTTAAATGTGCAGTATTTGATGTTATCTTTGTTAACATTTTAAAATAGCCACAATAACAATAATCCTTATTAAGAAGCAGGACAGGTGTCCTTATGCTTTTGAAAATGTTGGACTCACAAAACACAAATTAATTTCCTTTCAAAATTCATTAAATTAATTATGAGTACTGGTAATATTATTATTATTATTATTAAGATGATGATGTTGTGCATAAATATCCTTTCCAACCAACAATATAATTTTCAGTTTCCCCAAGCTGAAAGCTATCTCATCGGAGGAATAATAATGTTAGAATAGACTAGGTTCGAACACAAAATAGGACATATGTCATTATAAGGCAAGTGGGGAAAAATGTTTTATTATCTGATAGCTTATATTCAAAAATGTATTACAAAGAGAGAATAATAAAAATAAAAAAAAGTTACCTAGGGTAGTAGGCATGTGCATTAACAAAAATATTATATTTTAAGTTGTGGAGGTACAAGCCGTGTAATTTATAAAGAGCCTGTTTTCTGCTACATTGGTAGCGACCATTTACAATATTGTAAATGTGCCTGCTTTTTGTCTTCTCAGTTGGAGAGAAGTAACACAATAGAGGACACGGCTGGCAGAAGCAGAGAAAAGAAAAGTAAAAAAATGAAAAAGAAAGGAAGAGGAATTGTAAAGCTCCTAACATGGAAACAAAATCTCAATATAATCTAATTCCATAAGTAGTTGCAGGTACTTATGCATTAAAAAAGCTTTAAAATGTAATAGCGAAAAAGACAGATTATGCAATATTCCAGCATGCAAAATATATATTCCCATGTGAATTTTAATCGAACTGAACACCGAAGAGAAGACCGTTCTCCAGCAGGCTGTTATGTACTGCTTATTCTGATAAAACTCAGTGCAAGGCAGAGACAAAAGGCCAAAGAAAGGAGCATTCAAAAAAGGTCTACAGTCCACTGATGCGAATAAGGATTTACATAGGCTCCCGAGTATGATTCGCTATGCTTATCGTAAAAGGCGCCGTTGACTTGGTCTATGATGCTTTCAGATCCGTTAAGCTTCCTAAAAGCCAGCAATAGATGTGTTGCAGTCTCGCCTGTATGACTAGCTCCATCTGTGTTTGCCTGCTTTAACATATCCAGCTGCCTTCCACTTTAGCAATAGGCTGATGTCATTTGAGAATTTGCATTAGGTGTGTACACACAGAGCTCACAGGGAGTACAGCCGCTAGACATTTGCCAATGCAGTAAATTAGGCAAGGCAGCATGGATATAATACATTGAATGTGTTAATTAAAAAAGGGTTTTTTTTGTTTTTTTTTTAGATAACTCTTGTATTGATGTGTAGAAAGAAAGAAAGAAAGAAATGTCCTTGTATAAAATTTGTGAATCCTTTCATTTTTAGACTGAGCCTACCAATCATTCAAAATTGTATAGCTCAGGTAAGGGGGAATAAAACACATATACACATTCTGTTCACATCAATACTAGCAAACAAAAAAAGAAAATCACGTAAACCCTATCATAGACATACTGGTGTGCAGTTCATTGTCATACAGCGTATTGTTTGCCCTGTCACTCAAGTATGGAGTGGAAAATAAAATGGCAGAGTTGTATAATAAATCACAGAATGTCATGCTTGGATTTATCTAATTAAACTGTGTTCATTAACATAGCTTAAAAAAGAATCAGTTTACATCACCAGCTGTTAAAGTACAGGCATACAGCAAAGCTATGTTGTTTATGTGAGTTTGCAAAAATGGGTATATCAAAAGAATTGTATTTGGACAATAAAAATATGATGAAGCTTGCTGAACCCAATGTAACAACATCCTAAAAGCAAAGTGACATTTGTAGGTAACTACTGAGCTACATAATGGGTTATTTGTGTAATTAAAGCATCAATATTGCATTGAATATTACAATCCAGTGCCCAATCATGTTTCTCTTCTATGTTATTATAATTAAACTAAGATATGAAGAATTAGAAAGAAAGCTCATCGGTTGATCGGAAGAGGAAAATACACCTTGCATTTCACTTGTATTAGTAAAACTGTTAAATAACATGAGACTTATTTATATAATAAGTTATATAATAATAAAATAAGATAAGATAATAATATGTGTATATATTTAATGAAAATAAATGTTCGTGAGGGGCTCTGGAGCCATCATAATTAAGAATGGCCGAGTGGATTCTAAATGTAGGGTAACCCCATCTGTTGGCGATTTGTGTTCAGTAAGATTAATGGGAGTTACAGTTTCTTTTATAAATTCTTTATTTCAAATATTTTGTTGTGGGGGGAAGGGGATACAGAAATAAGAGTCGGGAGGGAAGGATTTGCTTGTTACATACATTACATAGCATTTTCGTTACCACTTGACAGTCCTTGTACCGCTTTGGGGAAGTGTCAGCAGAGTGTTGTGGGGAGTGTATCCTGGGCACCTGGTGGGTATGGGAGTTACAGTCCTGGGCAGCAGATTTAAAGATTCCGCCATTGATTCACTTTGAGTATGAATAAAAATATCATAGGGTGACATTGCATGCATTTCTCACACAAAGTATAAAATATACAGTGCAGTGAAAAAGTATTTGCTTTCCTGAGTTTCTCTCTTTTTGCATATTTGTCATGCTGACTTGTTTTAAATTTTCATACAAAATTCAATATTAGACAAGGAAAATTCAAATGAAAACAAATACAATTTAACAAATTTGACAATCTCATACAATCCAATGCTTTCCCATAGGATCTTGCACTGCGCAAATCAGGATCTACTTGTAGAGATGCATTTTTACTGATAAGGCAGTGTTTACATAAAAAGAAAACCTGCAAGGACAGACTATAGACATTATAATAACTACGTTGTTACTAAGATGTAGTTGTTCTGGTGAGCAAAGTGTTGCGTTAAGATTTGCAACCTGCTTTTCTGTCATTCACTTTTGACGATTTCATAAATAAACTACATGGTGCTTAGTGAGAAAAAGATTGTGAATGGTTGCAATTGATGATATTAGATATTGTGGCACACAGTCAGAGCAAGGCATCTCCATTTTGAAACAGACTGTATTCGTGCCGACTTTGCGAGGGTGTGGAGGACAAGAATAAACCAATATTCTTCTAAGAAGTCTCACACATAACTTCAGCTATGCAGAAATTACTGCTGCAAACACTATCCCTAATGGGAGCACTCCTGCATTTTCTCAACCCCTTACTCTCCATTCTCACACTTCCTAATCCTACGTTTTCTTTTCAAAATAATACCCATATACTTTTTCTACACCACTGCATCTCATCTCCTTGTTGCTCCTGACCTACCTCCTATTTCCAAGCCTTTTGCATGCATTTGCATGCTCATCTGAGCAATGTTTTGTCTCTTTCTCATCTTCTTTTCTTTCTCATCCCAAAGTGTCAAAATTACACCTTATCCCAACTTACCTCAACCACCTCACAACTTCCACATTCCCTCCTCTCTGATACCCTCCCCTATCTATCATCTCATGCACTGCACTTATTTCTTTGTTCTCTGCCTTCTAGTCCCAACTGATCTTATCCTAGACCCCATCCATATAAATCTACTCCCACCTCCTGTCATTGTCTCTTCTCATGCTTCTATCTGCTTGTGGTATCTCTCCCAAACCAGGGCCCTTCACCTCCATTGCTCTAAGAAAACTAGAAATCATATAAACCTCATCCCAGTACCCTGTCATTCCTCCTCATCTACCACTGTTAACTGTGCACTCTGGTCAGCGCTGTATTTAGCGCAAGGCAAACAAGGCATTTTCCTTGGGCGGTACTTTCTAGGGGGCGACAAAAAAACGACACCCCCCAAGTGCCCTGGCAAGTACCAAGTTTGCCTTGACTTATGGGGGGGCCCAAGAGTTGGTCTGCTGGCCACCCTTGGGCCCCCCCAGGGCACCCGGGCAGTTTCTTTTACAGGCGGGTGGCGATGTAGCGCTAAACTGAGCTCTTCCCACTCAGCTCCCTCAGTGATGCCAGGAGCTGGAATATGACATTACTCCGGCGCCCGGCATCACTAAGCGGCATGTGAGGGAGCTGAACAGGAGGATCAGAGCTCCCTCGCCGCCTATTTTGTGCACCCACTCCCCCCCTGGCCTGCCCACCTTCCATCTTGCATGCTTGCCTGACCTCCATCCTGCACGGCGGCGAGCTGAAGAGCCCCACTGTAAAAATCCACCCAGCTCTCCCAAAGATAGGGAGGCTGGGTGGATTTAAATTAAAATAAAAGTAAATAAATATTTGTAAATGTTTGGTGGTAAATGTGTGTGTCAGTCTGTCAGTGTGTGTGTGTGTGTGTATGTTTGTCTGTCAGTAAATGTGTTGTTATTTCTGTCAGTGTGTCTGAGTGAGTGTATCTGTCAGTGAGTTTGTTTGTCAATGAATGTGTGTATATGTTTGTTTGTCTGTCAGTTTGTGTGTGTGTGAATGTCTGTCTGTCAGTTTGTGTGTGTCTGAGTGTGTTTGTATGTTAGTGTGTGTTTGTCAATGTGTGTGTGTCAGTGAGTGTGTGTATGTGTCTGTCTGTTAGTGAATGTGTGTTTATATCTGTAAATGTGTCTGTCAGTGACTTTGTTTGACAGTGAATGTGCATCTGTGAAGGAGTATGTGTTTTTCTGTGAGTGACTTTGTGTGTGTCTGTCAGTGAATGTGTGTGTACGTCTGTCAATGTGTGTGTCTGTCAGTGAATGTGTGTGTATATCTATTAGTGTGTGCATGTGAGTGTGTGTATGTCTGTCAATGTGTGTTTGTCAGTGAATGTGTGTCTGTCAGTGAGTGTGTGCATGTCTTTCAGGGTGTGTGTGTTGTAGTGGGAGGTAATAGAACGGAGGCAGGTGAGGTTTGAGATTAGTAAAATAAGAGTTTGAAAGGTTGGTGAAGACTTGCTGTTGGTGAAAACAGTGGAGGTTTCTCCGAGATTGATGTATAGTGAGTGATATAATTTGGGTATGAGGTATGCTGATATCAAAGATCAGCAGATGGTGGTCACATAGAGAAATTGGAACACTGGAGAGATTACAGGTGGTGCAGAGATTGATGAAGATGAGATTAAGAATATTTCTGGATGTATAAATTGATGAGTTAGACTGTTGTGTGAGTCCAAAGTTACAGAAAGCAGTAAAGAGGTATAAGAGCTGTTAAGGTTATTGATTGGTGTATTAACGTCCTCAAGTATAAGAAAAAGAGTACTAAAAGAGAGCAAGTGGGATGGCCATTATGAAAAGTGTTCAAGAAATAGCCTAGGATGACCAGGGTGGCAATAAATAATGGCAATTCTTAAATGAGCGGGTTAAAATGGGAAAACTGTGTAAACCTCATATTAAGAAAAATATAAGGTTAATTGCTTGAGAGGTACAATGGGGAAGAGAAGGATGCCTACAAAGTCTCCTTTACAGTAGTTGAGTCTGGAAGTGTGGGAGAATTGTAGCCTTCTGAAGCATAGAGAAGCAGGAGTTGGGCTATCAGAATGGGATAGCAAGTATGATGACAGAGTAAAGAGGCTGTGAATAGCTGTAGATTTAAATTTGTTGCAGACAAAGTGAATGTACCAGAGTCAGTGGTGTATTTTGAATTTGTGCTGCCCTAGGCATGATGTAATTTGGGCACCCCCTAATTTAAATTTGCCCCACCCCTTCTAGTCAAAGCCCCACCTCTTCCCGTTAAAGACTTTGACTGGCATACACACAGACACACTGACATAGACTCACTGGTAGACTTACACACTCACTGATTTGACACAATCTGACACACAATTACTGATTTGACTGTTGAACTGTTGAACACTGCTGAAGAAAGTCTCATTCTGTATCTGATTTTATCCACTATAAATTCATGCTATTTTCATACAGTTTCATACTCTTACACCTGCAAAAGAAAACAAATTCAATACCCTCATAGCCACACTCTCCTAAAAAGCCAAACACTTCTTCTACACTTTAAATGCTCTTCTTCACACTGTTACCACTTCTGTTTGTACTTGCACCTCTGCCACCCACATTCAAGTTTTCTCTAGGACTGCACCATTCCTATGGAATTCCCTTCCTGGCTCTATTAGGCTCTCACATAGTCTCCATTCCTTAAAAAAGATCATTAAAAAAACTCACTTTTTCAGGAAGGCCTAACAAAAAAAAAAAAAAAAAATATATATATATATATATATATATATATATATATATATACATATAACGTTATATATATTCATCTAGCAACCTACTTTTCCCATGCAAATACTAATAAGACTGTTAGTTCACTTATTGTACAGTGCTGCAGAATTTGTTTCCACCATTACATATTATTAATAATAATAATAATAATAATAATTATAAGTAATAATAAGTATGGTACAGGCAGTGTTCAAGGTGAAAGGCAGCTCTCTTTATGTCAAACAATTGGATAGACAGTTCATTCTCATTACCTAGATGCATGAAACAAAACAAAAGTACATTTCTGGGGTAGTAGTGGGACAATCACCGCAGTTTGCTCTCCCTGCAGTCACACACCCTAATGATGTTACAATTTAAACAAACAGCACAAGCAGTGTGTTTTATTTTTCCTGTCAATAGTGGTTAACTTTACAACACCATCCATGTGAGATGTGTCATAGTGCTGTTAAAAAAGACATGTACATATAATCTAGGTAAATAATCAACAGGCCTCTGCAATCAAGCACACCCCAAAGCAGGTGTTAGGGTGCATGTAAATTATGTTTTGGCATCATTGTGACAAAAGAAAGTAAATTACAGAGGAAAATAGAACAGAAATGTCCAAAATAGATATTTAAGTGTATTTATTTATCTTACTCGAACTGGATTT